CTCGTTGCTCCTCACTTCTCCAACCTTCTCCACCGAAAGAGTACAGTGTTTAGTTTCTAAATTTGTGCTCATCCTGTTTTGTTCATAACCGCTATGAGCTTTTTATTCTTTTACTGTTTTCTGTTTGAAGTGCACTTTTTCCCTCAACTCTTCTGTCTTTTAAAACTGTTTCTAGTCATTTTTCTTTCTCTCCTGTGAAATTCCAGTCTATTTATTAATAATAGCTATATACAGTATGTATAAAGTTTTATACATCTGATTCCCTAGAAAGTTTCTGTTACTAGGATCTGAGATAAACTAATAAAGAGAGGAGGGGAGGTCCTTGTAGGGAGTTCAGTATATCTTATTATCTGTCTTATGTGCTTAACTGAGCGGTATGGAATTTATCCAGAATAAGCTCTGTCCCAAAGAATCAGTGATGTTGATTGTGGGGGGGAGGTACATAAGAAGCTGAGGGAAGATGAGTAAGGGAAGTTGGGCAGAGGGAATGAGAAGAGGGTTTTTTTTGGGGGGGTGTGTATATAGTCAATGAGGGTAGAGTGTATTAGTTTTCCTGTGAACAGTATAGGTAAACAAATCCGGTAGACTTTAAGTTCTCGTTGAGAAGAATCTGTATATATATGAAAGGGTCCTCATGACAAAGAAGTAACTTGGTCATATCTCTGTTTTCCTGGTTGGAGGTTGTGATGTAGCTGCTTTGAAGTACATTATTGGGGCAGTTAATAGTCATTATAGTATCCTTAAAGTTAAGCTTTCTCTGCTGAAATATGTACATTCTACACTTGATCTTGGCTCAAAACTAGAGAAGTGATTGGAGTATGTAACATTCTAACTCAGAAAAATGTGTTGCTTTTTCAAGACAGAGTCAGATTTGGAAATTGAATTGAGAGATGGCAATCTGCCAAGAATCACAAAATTTCAAGCAAAGTTTTGGTGCCGGAGGCACTGTTGAGGCTTGAGAATCATGAAATTTGCCCACATAGAACTCAAAGCCAAAAGGACATATGTAGAATTATTTAATTTCTCATTTTCCAAATTAGGAAACTGAGGTTCATAGAGATTGTTGCTAGTGGCAGAAATTTTGCTTAAATGCTGTATGTTATCAAGATGAAGCTTACTTAATTTGTGGCTCATAGCTCATTCTTTTACATTTCTTTTAGTTGTCTCTTGACTGAGATGACTCCAGGACTGGTAGTTCAAACTGCATTAGAGCTTTTGTTTCTGGGAACATCCTTATCTTTTTCCTAGAACATCCTTTGGAAAAATTGATACCTACTAGGCAGGAAACAAAATTTATCTTCTCTGAGATATGACTTGGTTTTCTTAGTTGGCTTGGTTCAGTCATTATTGAGAGTGTAGAATGGTACAATTTTTTTTTTTAACACTGTCACTTAGAGCTGTGTGCTCAGCAGCACTTCTCAGGAGGCAGGCTGACATTTCAGACATATTTTTGAGTATTTTCATTTGGAGAACATATTGTGCCTCCTACCAGCAGAGGGGTATAGTTAGAATGCTTTTCATTTTTCCAAGTTAACTAGGACTAGAGAGATTGCGTTACAGCGTCCACCAAACCACGGGTTGGTTTTTAGTTTTGGCTTATGGTAGGGGATTTTGTTTCTCTCTCTCTTTTTTTTTTTTTTTTTTTAAATGTTTCACTCTCAGTCTTATCAAGCAAGAATCTCCTATGAGGTAACATTTTGCTAAGCTTGCTTATTTTACTTTTTGAAGTTTTATTATCTGTATAATTAATACATAACAATTGTACATATTTATAGTTTACGGTGTGATGTTTCAATATTGTCTGTTTATCTCTTTGTGCTCTTTGTAGGAATTATTGACACATTTATGTAGTAGTGTTGGTAGGTTATTTGGTCTTGCTTCTCTATGACCTGTTCAGGCAGAACTCTAGTTGTTTGAGGAATGCACATCCGGCTAGTCTCTAGCATCTCCAAATTATATGTGTACTTCAAACATTGAAGTCAGTCACACACTGCCTCTTAGTTTCTCATCTGTAGATGATGTCATCTCGTCTTGACGGAAATGTTTCTGCTCTGAAAGCTCTGGGAGAGGCTCTGCTATTAAGGCCAGCTCTGTTTTGTTCCACATGCTGCAGGGGAAAAAAACCTAGCTCAGTTCAGAGCTGTTTGCTGTCTGAAAATGTCTTTGTTTAAATTATCTCCTCTTTTTTTTTTTTTAGGTCATAAGTTTATTTACAAGCATATTCAGTATGCTGTGAGTTTTAAGAGTTTGATCCATTTTCCAGAGATTGTGACTGCGCCTCTTAAGATGTTTATCTATTAAATGGGTGAATTAAAACATCCTTATTTCTTTAGTAGTTGGTGTCTTACTATAAAGAAAGGTGCAGCAAATCCAGATCCAAAGTACAAAGTCATCATAACGAGTAACTGCCACTTGCTTTCCACTGAAAATGGCAGATTCTTCCCTGGACCCTCCTCACAGTGGCTTTTATGGGCCACCGGGGGCGTGACACTCTCGGT